GAGGGTTATGGATTGTAGTTGTGTTTTGTTTCTTGTTCTGTTTCTTTTCTTTCAGAGGCTGGACGGAGGGGGGGTGGGGGTTAAGACTGGTTTACGGGCTGCACGATGTCCATACCAAAGGCACTGCTGCCTTAATCTCAGAGACTCCTAGATGTGGTGTTTTTTTCAACTGGTTGCTGCCTTTGGTCTTAGGATTCACGGCCCAGAATTTCGCCTTGGGCTAGGGGGTTTTGAAAATTCCTTGCATCCAGAGATCCCCAAAGCAGCTGGTACTGCAACAGATTTTGGGCTTATACTTCTTTGCGATCCTGTGTGTCTGTGTGTGTGTGTGTGTGTGTCTGTGTGTGCGCGCGCGCGTGTGTGTGTGTGTGTGTGTCTTTTTGCGTCGGGGTGTCATTGTGTCCGTGTGTAGAGTGGTGTAGAATGGCCACAAGCCTTGCCAACAAGCGGTAACTTTTTGTTAACGAAGCTTCTTGCCAACAGCTCGTCGCGTGCATGAGAGCTTCCAGCATGTGTTGAGCCAGTCACGAAGACTTACAGCCCCAAATGCAAACTCACTGCACTGGCTCTCGCACCCGCGATGTGCGACATCCTTGAGTTCTCACGCAGTATGAGCAAGTCAGGTCTGCGTTCCTGGCTGCTGCAGCTCCTCAGTTGAGATTTAGTGTCTCGGGTGGGGGGTGACAGCGAAGGGACAAGCAACGCCACCAACCTATATATCGAAGCCCTAAATCCGGAACCCATCACCATCCCAAATTCAACTCTCCATCCGCGCAGGTTAGTACTTTTGCTCACAGTTTTCGAGTTGAGACGAACGAAACGGAAACGGGCTTTGGGTGGGCCTTCTGCACTTCGGTGCAGCCGCCGAGCCGACGTGTGCACATGCTTAGTCTTTGCTAGCTTGTGCTTGAGCTGTTCCCAAATTCGGCTCCTGTAGTAGAGATGGCAAGCCTTGGTGATATCCACCTTACCACGAAGACACTTCCCGGACCCCGAATGCTACCTGGATCACAAATAGCCATTCCTCATTATGGCTTCCGAACACCCCGAAACCCTCGAGGTAGAGCCGTAAGCAAGTCATGAACCCAATAGCTCGGTCCAGCACAAGACCATCGAAGCCGGACATCCTGGATGACGATGTTGTTCAAAGTTCCACAACAACCGTAGTTTTTGTAGGGGCCCTATAAACTCCGTATTAGGTCTGTCTATCAAATAGATCAGAGCCGATGTTAGGAACTAAGCTACGCCAGAAGCCAAGTTGCCCATCTGATCGGTTGGGGTTCAAAAAATAGGGCTTTGGGGTTTGTGGAGGAGGATTTGGGGTTAAGGGTTTATCTGCTGTGCCAACACTCATCCTTATAAAACCTACAGTAACCATTACAACTTCTACTTGAAGGTTCATGGGTAGTTATAAGTGGGGTTACAAGTATGTAGGGTATCTGTACTTATAACGCATATTAGGGGACTTCTGACCCTACTCATAACTATAACTACCCATGAACCTCCAAGTAGGGCCGGGTCTGAGCTTTAGCCCGATGAACCCCTGGACGCCAGACCCTGAACTTGCTTTCGCAGCCCGCACAACCCGAAGCTCGATCCTTAAATGGTCGACTATACCATGTTCTTGGGCAGTAGCCTTCTAGACAGATAGGTTTCTAGTGGAGTGCGGTCGGGATGTATTTGGATGTGTGTGCATTGGCCACCACGGGGATTCAAGCTTTCTAACGCCATCTCATTATCTAAGAGGCGTTGTCTACCGACGTTATATATATTCGTTTGCGTGCTCTTTTACCCAAGCATGTGTTAGATGTTTTTTTGTTTGTTTATATGCGTCCAACGACTGCTCAGCACATTCCCTTGCTGCTTTGAATGGTTCTTTGCGGTTGCGGGTTTAAGGGTTTGGGAGTTACTAGAATACTAGAAAGGCAAGTCCGGAATGGTCCCCTCACTTCTTATGCTGAAACTGGGCCGTTCTGGACATTGAAATTCAACTTTGCCAAGGATGAACAACATCCAAGAAAGGCTCCTGAGCAAAGCTGAGATTCAGGTGGTCCTGCTGCAGATGGCGCCTGGCTTTCAAGATTCTCCTCAAGGCGGGCAGAGTCGGAGGGCCTCCCAGCTCGCTTCGCCCGTCCCTCTCAGTCTACCGAGTAGCTCCGACGCTGCTCTGGACGACTGGGAAGTCAGCAAGTGAAGCAGATGATGGTGATGAGTGATGCTGATGATGCCCTGCGTTGGATGATAAGCATGACACTAGTGATGTCCATGGTGATGATCTTGATGGTCTTGTTGATCTTGATGATGATGGTGATGACGGACGGATGGTACTTCTAAGCTTGAGCAGTTGTGGCGTTCATGAGTTTATAGGGCCCGTTGGCAGCACAGCATTCCACTACTGCTTCAATCCATGGTAGCATCGCTTCAATATAATAAAGAAGAGAAGTGAACCGTTACACTGCTTATTCCCACAGGCCCCAAGCCCTGCCTTTGGGTACTGCCAGTCTCCAGAAATGAAAGACCAAAATTTCATGCTCCATCGAGCATTTAAAATGGCAGATGTTCGATCTAAGCCGTATTAGTAGGGGGCCTTAATACCCATAATAAGGACTTAATAGAGCCCATGTAAGGAAGTATAGTATAGTCCCCTACCCCCCTCCCCCTAACCCCCCCTAAGGGTCCCTATGACCTAACTTCCCCTTATACCCTGAACCCTAAACTCTCAACAGTCTGAAGCTTCCGATCCAGAGGCCTCCCGGCTTTGCAGAAGTGGCTGGAGCAAGACCTATCTTGGGCCTGGGCCTCAGCCTAAATTCTAAACACTCGACCGCTAGTCAGAAGTTTGAGAACCTGAAACCTAGTAGTAGAGTAGGTAACCTTTAACCTTTTTTGGGTAGTATAGCCCTATATAATCCGCTTTAAAAGGTTAACCTTCAGTTGCCCATGATACCCGACAAATGTGGGTCTCGATCCTAAGTCGTAAACTCCAAAAACCCCAAAGCCCTTAACCCCGGAAATCACATCAACCCTGTCCTGCACCCTACTTGGAGGTTCATGGGCAGTTATAAGTGGGGTTATAAATGTGGGTAACTATACTTATAGCTCATATGAGGGGACTTATTCCCTACTTGTAACTACCCACGAGCCTCCAAGTAGACCCGGGATGGGTGAGAGGTTCGGGTCATGCTCGGAGAGTCTATACAGCATTAAGTTTCGGGCTGAGGGTGTGGAGTTGAGGGTTGCGGGGTTTAGGGGCCAGGGTTTAGGGCTCAGCATTTGGAGTTGAGGATTGTGGGGGTTCGGGTTGGAGGCATGTTTTACTACCGTCCCTAGGGGTTGAAGTCACTTTCAGGCTTCCAGGTTTAGGCTTAAAGGGTCTTGGCTGGCTAGGGGTTTAAACGTACAGCGTTTAGAGCGTGGCCTGTTCGGGGGCTGCAAGGGCTTTCGCGTTTGAGCGTTGCGGAACCCGACACCTGTCGGAAAAATCTCAGCAGAGTAGGTCCCGTGCGCAACGTGGCTCTGGCTAGGCACACAGATTGCAAGACTGTTCACATTGTCGTGCTAGGGAAAATTCGGGGCCCTTTTACCGTTCTCATGATCAGGGACCTGTATTCCAGGGTGCTTACGCGATCTGAAGTGGTCCTTTACATGATCTGAAACTCAGCGTGTCCAATCAGACCCGCTGGGCGATTCGCCTTGAACTCTAAACCCTAAAACCTAAACCCTAAACTCTAAACCCTAAAACCTAAGCCACAGGATCAGACGAAAGAGCCCTAAAGCCCAGACCCCAAAGCCTGTCTAGCCCCTTTTCTGCAGGCCTCATGGACAAGGATCTCTGATGCCCGATGCCCTGCCCAGAAGCCCCTGAACCCAAAGACACCTGGCACCTTCTCATTGCATGCATCGCGAAGCCCTTCGACCCCCCATCCCCCCCAACCGCAACAGCCAAACGATCAGCCTCACATGATATAGGCTAGCCACGGTTTAGGGTTTAGGGTTTAGGGTTTAGGGTTTGATATATGATATAGGTGCTGGGCATCCTGTTTGTGCACGTCATTCATCGTATTCTCCAACCACATAAAGAGCCCGGCATACAGCCACATCAAGAGCCCCACAGCACATAACCGACATGACGCTTTTAAGACCCTTAGTTGGAGAAGTCTGCACGGAGCCCGGGAAAGCATCCATGTGCCGACAGGGCTGTTCAAGAGCCACTTCATGAACCATACAAAACTCAAAACTCATGATTAAGAGCCCCTTTAACGATTCGTCAAGAGCCCTCCCAAAAGCCCTTAATTTGGAACTTTACAGAGCCCTCTAAAGATCCCCTTGAAGAGCCTGAAGAACGCTAAACCCGAAGCCCGGGAAAAACACAATTTTGAAGGACTAAACCTTAACGAACCCCAAACCTGAAAAGAGCCGTAAAGAACCCTAAAGAGCAAAGCTTTCCGGCCATCGATCTCGCTCAGTCCAGCTCGAAGGGTGCACCTGAGATTCCAAAGGCTGGGCAACTGGTCTTCTTTGGGATTGGTCCGGGTTTAATTTTTTTGGCTTTTGGGTTCAGGGTTTTGGTTTTTTTTTCGGTTAACCGTCTTGGAGTGTTTAGGGCTTTTAGGCGTAACAGGGCGGATGAGCACAACGAACTTTTCGGTACCATGCAGGGGAACCGTGTCAGGGCACAACGCTGGCTTCCCACGGTGGACCGCTGAGTCAGGCTTCTATGTCTCAGGGACCGATTCGCCCTAACACCGCAAGAAAGCATATGAGTCTGAATGAGTAGTAGGTCGTAGTTTCTGTTCAACTTGATTAGACTATTTTGCGAGATTGTTAAAGCAGAACTGAACTGCAATATCCCAAACCCTAGTATGATTGTACAAGTGTCTATGCTAAACCCTAAACTACAACCCCATCAACACCCGTAGACGTCCCTAATATAAAACTCTGTTCTCAGAAGTTAGGCCCATGTATTGGCTGCCTTTATTCTTCGTCACATGCGCAGCCAGATGGATCCGTTCCCCTTCGCTTCGGAGTTCTTGATCTTCTACCAGAGCTTTGCACAGCCTGCCTGTTTGAGGGCATCCACGGACAGTTAAACGGAATGTGCTTCGGCAGACCTATCGTCTGTAATTAACAGGAAAGGGTTTCACTGCAAGTTACTAACACTTGCAGGAGTGATAACTTAACATGGATATAAGGACTAAGTTTGGTTTAAAGCTTTGCTTGTCATGTCTGTGGTGGTAAGGCTTGGACTTTTTGCCAGGCTGGTTGCCAACTCTCTATGAACCGTTCAGGCAGACTGCGTGATGGTCACAGCCCTAGTAGGAGCACCGCCGTATCTGATTGTCTCTTTGACTGACCAGAGGTCTGAGAAAAAACTATGACAATATCCCCCGTGGTCCTTATACAACTATACTGAAATGTACCTCCTCCGCCTCTGCTGCGATGACAACATTTGTTACCAGCTTTGGCCTTCTCTTGCCGTACTCCAAGAGTGCTAATTGAAACCTGGGGATCACACGACATAGAACCCTAGGCTGGAAAACCCGTGCGTCCAACTCTGTTTCAAGGGTTCTAACTCCGCTAAAGTCCCACAAGTAATGAGATGAGGGTTTAGGGCTTGCGGGTGCAGTGTTTAAAGTTGCAGGGTAGCAGCTGGGTACTGGTAGTAGGCAGTGATGCCCAAAGGTATATTGCTACTTCCCAGCAGGATGCGTGTTGCAATCATCCCTGCCAGTGTTTGGAATAGTAGTCTACGAGTGTTCCCTCGAACTCAACGTCCACAGCTTGAGAGATACGTCGCTTCCAACCTGAGACTCTGAACCGTCAACCTCTGACCCTAAGATGGGGGCCGAAACAGTTACCCATACTGTGTTGGGGGTTCGTCTTTCATTAGACTTATAGACTTATAGAGAACAGGCCCCAGAACCCTGTTCTAATCATTAAGGCCCTAAATTAGTACCCTTATCGATCCCTAATTATAGCAGCCCTTTATAGACCCTCCAAAACAGGAACGCTATGCTAATTACTAAGAACCCCGTATTACATCCTAAAGCCCTCGGCCCTCCACTCAGAGCTTTTGCACGAATGCCAGGCTCCGACCTCCTTGCTGCCTAACTGCTGGCAGAGCAGCGGCTTCGCCCGGGCCTCAATTAGGGACCCCAAAAAGCACATAAGCATAAGCATTTTATATGGACATCCCTACCTTCTTGGCCTCCCCCTTAAAAAGGGGGTTTATATCCCATATACTTTTTTGGGGCTCTATCAATAGCTCCGCAAATCGCCCAATACCCTGTAACTAATGCGCGGACCCTAAACTTTATCCAGCGAACTCCCAGACAGCAACCCTAAACCTTGAACCCTATACTGCAAGCCAAGAATACCCGCAGCTTTCAAGAATGGTTTCCCTCATAAACAGCTTGAATCCGATTTGAGGCTTTCCCCAAGCCCTTAAACCCTAAGCCCTATACCCTCGGTCCCAACCTCCTGATCCACCTCTCAAACGCTCAGTTCACGTCCAACCTAATCCCTTAACCCTTGACCCCAAACCCTAAACCCTAAAATTGTAAACCCACCGGAATCTTTCCATTCTTGCCACCAGGCCCTGTGCCCTAAAACCCAAAACCCTCAAACGCCAAAACCCTAAACCCATTCCGATGTTGCCACCAAGGCGGAATACTTCCGGGTGGGCTGCAGTTCAGCTGCCTGGGAGCCCAGCTTCTGTCCCAACGGCGAAGGGTTTAGCCCCGGGGGGCCCTAAGTACCTATACAGTAGAATGTAGGGTTTCTCTAATCGGAACTACTATGCTTTGGAAAGTATTCCCCATAGCAGAACTTAGGGCCCTTTGGGCCTGGAAACAGGCCCAATCATGGTAAGTCTAGAGAGTGTAAGACATTACGGGCCCCATATTTTACGAGTAAAACCAGGTTTTTCGTGGATTTTATAGCTGAAAAGTAATTACTAGGATATACAATATCAACATAGCAAACTCTTCCATAGAATACAGCTGCTATCAGAAGGCAACACGACTAGCAATCGAACATACCCGTAATCTCCGAAAATAATGCTGCCGACACCCTCATCCGAGCTGAGGCTGTGACCTCAGTATGTATCAGCTCGAGGCTAGTCTTTCAGCATGTATCCTGTATTTGCAATCCGGACTCAAAGCACACATGCATGTTTCTTGCAATCGGTCAGGTGTTGCAGCTGCAACAGCAGAGTCATCAAGGTGACTTTGCCGTTTGAAACACATTTGCGTGACCTAATTACGAATTTGATGGCGAATACCATCTGCGTATCACACTTCGTCCTTCTGTATGATGTCCAGGAAACGATAGGACAAAACATGTAGCATGACATTGTTGAAACAAGAGAATGTAAGAACATGTGATATTCCGAAGTGTACGTGCGCAAACTTGATACAGTTGCGCAGTGTTCTGTGGTGAGTGTGCACTGTCATACACGCGGATAGCAACGACGCGACATCCAAACCCGATTGGACAGGTTGGCAAACCTCTAACGCTGTCCCATCACTTCTTGACGATGCGCTTCATCATCTTGGTGGCAGGGGTCTTCTTGACGTGGCGCTTGATCACCTGGGTGGAAGGGGTCTTCTTGTCCGCGAAGGCGCTTTTAGAAGTCGCAGAAGACGCTCGTGGGGATGATGCTGGGCGTCTGCATGTGTACTTCTTGCAAGCTGGGCGCTTAAGCAAGCCGCTTGTCATAGCAGCTTGCTTCCTGGCGGAGAAGGGGTTCAAATGATTGCGGTAGCCTTGACGAGTCAAGTCGTTGTGCCTCTGCACATACAGCAAGACGTAGAACGCGTGAGAGCGTGGCGACTTTGTGTTGAACTGCGAGGCATAACCTCGAAACCAAGCAAAGGTTTGCTCGGCAATGGAGGTGTTGATGCCCTCCAGGCGGTTATTCAAGGTCTTGTGCTGCAGGGGAGAGCAGGGACAGCCAGGAGCATGGCCTTTGGCGTGAAAGCGATCAACGCACCAATGCTTAATGTGTTTGGTGTGTGCGTCTTTCCGGCCTTGCTGAACGCATCTACAGGCTCTGTCATAGACGACGCAGTCCAGTTGTGATGACCTCATCGCCACGAGATGAAGGACATCCAGGGCCACCTGATTATTCTCCGGTTGCTGCATTTCTTGTACTGCAGCTATGAGCCCTGTGCGAGGATCTATGGCCATGAACCAGCCGTTATTACGAAGCTTCTCCTTGCCGTCTTTCCGGGGTCTTCCGGCATGCGATGGAGGCGCACCGGAGCATTTCGTGGCCACTTTCTCATGACCATCAAGAACAATCTCCCGGATGGACATGTGCTCGGTGCGCGTCAGCTGATGCTTGTGCCACCAAGAAGTGTAATCCGCCATGAATGCGTCGGTGAGTGGATTGTCCAGGTCGATGGCTGCGAGCTTGTCCTTGGCGTTTGTTGATCGGGCCCACATTTTCTCAGCTTCGCGGATCATGTAGTAGTACAAGCTGGCGATACTGTACGCTTGATTCCAGCTCGCATGCTCGTTCTCATCTTGCCATAAGACCTCTTGTTGTGCCCATGCAATGGCATTGTTGCTGACACAGCCGCGAAACTGGAGTGCATCATGGTACTCCAGGAACTCCTTTGCGAAGGCGGTGTTGCTGTTGACAAAGATGACGTCCATCTGATCATGTTGCATTGTGTTAAGCTTCTTGCCACCCTGTTTCCTGTAGTTGTACAAATGTCGTATGCGACAAGACTTCGACGTGCAGCGCATGGGGATGTGCTCAACTTCCTGTACACCCCGCAAGGTGTACAGTCTGGCTGCCATAACGTCGGCAGACGCTAAGGTAGACTGACACTTCACACACTGTTGCAAGGGCGTTCGGAAGGAAACGCGGAAATCATCATGAATACCCGTCGCAGTACCCTCAAGCATGTAGGCACGATTGTTGTCCATGGGAATGCTGTGGGGAATGTTCCGAAGTTGAAACCATGTCAACCCAGAAAGTTGACAGCACAAGGATGCCAGGCCATCTGCAGCAATGGACAGTCTACGTGCACCTGCAGTGCTGTCAACAAGCCGAACCTCACCGGATTCCTCGAAAACCACAGCAAACCAATGTCCAGTGCCATCAGACATTTGCTGGTGACAAAGCCACTTCTCCTTCGAGCAGACATGAGTGAGGACGTCAGTCATAGGCTCCAAGATCATGCGGACGGATTCCGAGCTTGGCTGTTGCGAAGCGAAACATATGATCTCGTTGAACTCCTTGGCGGAAAGCGGGCCTTCATGATCAGCGAAGTATTGTAAATCAACACTAGGCTCTACGTTGGCGATGCCATTGAGTAGACAGTTCTGGAATGATGTGATCACATTGCCGTCCAAAACAACACTCAGCATGTCCCGCCGAAGAGCCAGACGGGCTAGTGTCATCGAATGTGTCGATGTGGGCCAGGACTTCACAGACATTGGAATCATGGACTGGGCGCATCGTCGACACGATTCTGACACCAAAATCTCATGTTCCAAACTGGTGCAATGGATGATAGCCCCATCGAAGAGCAACACGCAGGACTGGTTCCCGATGACATCACGGACTTCCTTCAACAATTCATTCTCCTCGAAGGACAACAAAGCCGAAAGTCGACTGAACTCGGGGTTGCGACGATCGGAGTATAAGTCTCGCCATGCTGCTGCCTCTGGATGACGCAATAGACAAGAAGCTGCTTTTTGAACCTCATCAGCAAGTTTGAGGATCCAGGGAGCCGGAGCTTCGAAGGAGGGCTTGCCGCCATAGAAAATGCGGATGAGCTCCACCTTTGCATCAGCGACAGGAATGTCCACGTACTTAGCGATCGCCTCCCGCCATGATGCATAGTGCTCCACAAATAGGTTGAGCATGGGGAACCTGGTCTCGTCCCAAAGTTCGAACATCTGGAGCTTTCGCGCAAGAAGGCGGGGATGACGACATGCTGCGTCCACTTCGGCCCAGTCGAGGCCGAATGCCACTGTCCGAGCCTCCTTCGTGAGCTTCTGACCTGAAGGTCCACGAGATAGTAGGCGACCATAATGTGGAAGCTTGTAGTACTCGACCTGTAGGAGCGAGGAGCTACCCATCTTGGTTCCCATTGCACGATGGCGCTGGAGGTAGTGACGTAGAAGGTCCTGACGGCGATCTGTCTCATGGGCCGCATAGTCCTCGAGGGCGTTGAGATTGATCGTCTCTAACAGGCGACACTCGACAGGCCGCACCAAAGTTGCTTCCGTGGTTTGTGTGCGATGTCGCAACATAGTCTGACGTTGAAGTTCAAACGCATTGCCGTCCCATTTCTCCTGCTCATGTAGAAGCTGAAAGGGACAGGTCCAGTCAGCCCACGCCCCAAACACTGCAGAGCCACCATGCTGTTCCATCGCATCGACAAGCCGCTGCCAGTCAACCAGTAGTTTGTAAAAGCACGATGAGTCGACCTGATTGAACAAACGACTGTTAGCAAGGTCTAAGGCCTCGACGAAGTTGGACAATTTCGTCTTCTTCCCTTTGGACGATGCGGCACATCCAGGTAGGACCTCGACCTTATGAATGAGATACTCCTTGAGTATTCGTCTCTGCGGGGTGTTGGCATGCACCTTCTGGACAAGAGTCTCCGCCTCTATGATAACGTCAACTACAGTGCCTGGGGGAGGGGTTGTTGCACCTGACAACGACGAGGACAACCAGTTTGTGTCGCGGACTATGTCTTCATGAATGCTGCCAGGGTCGTTGATCATATTCATGATATCCTGCTCACTGTTTTCCCTGAAGAAAGGAATGCAATATTCGCGAAGGTAGACTGCCGCAGTGATGGGATTCGACATGAAACTGGTGAGCTCATCCTGTGGAATTAACTTATAGATCCCGCGGGAATGGTCTACCTGGCTGTCGTCCATGGTGAAGGTAACCTTGCCCATGAGAAAGCAAATCACACGTCGTCTAAGTTGCTCCAAGCTCTTGGTGCGGTCATTGCTCTCTTCGATTATGGGAATATTTTCGAAGTTGAGCTCTTGAATCTTCATCGCGGAGCCGAATCGTCGCTTGCTCGTGAATCCGAAATTGACCCTGCAGTCGATTTCTTCATCGACTACAAACCGTTTCCAAACATCTGCCACAAACCGCCCACGACTCTCCATCTCCTGGATGCGTATGCTGGCTTTGTTCCATGCAAGTTCAGCTGATTTCCTGAACTCCACCCTGTCAAGGAACACACCGCAGTCTAAAGTAGCAGTGGCCAGGTCACCAAAGAGTGCTCGATCCAAGACCGCCTCCATCCCTTTACCGTCGCCGCCTTTACCCGCCTGAAAGATTATCTTTCCAGTGCATTTCTTTGCGAAGGCTGCTTGCATGAAACACAGCTTCAACTGGAACAGATGTGGGCTACCGAAGTAGAGCGATTCCAGAAACGTTTTCAGTCGCGTACGGACTTCTGCAATACTGATGTTCTGGCGGTCAGCCATCTTGTTCTCCCAAAAGAAATGGTAGTCAAGCTTCAAGTAGCAATTGGCCTCTGCAGACTTGTTTGCGACGTTCCAATTCTTATCCAAGTACACGTCCCGGAAGCAAACTCCATTCGACACTGGCATTGTAGTATCCCATTCAGTCAGGAAGAGTTTGGTGAGCCCCTTCGTTGTATTCTCAGATTCCAATGCCTTGCGAAACTGTGCTAGCATATCTGCGACGCGTCGTGTCCACCGAGCCTGCCATACTTTGTTCCCCGTTTTGACACGCACATGGTCGCTGTTGCTTTTGGCGACGTCAGTCAAGACTTGCATCACATTCAGATCAGCCTCGACCATGTCTCCGACAATGTCCATCAAGTAAGTCTTCACATCATGCCAAGTCCAGGACACCTGCAACTCCTGATCGTCCAAAGAGGTGGACAGCTGGACGAAGAGGCCTTCCAAGGCCAAGAGTAAATCCCATCCGCGAACTGTAAAGGAGGGTACCATGACCCATGCTCCGTCTTCATAATGGAAGACTTGACGCTGATGTGCCCGCCATTGTTCACCTTCCAATAACAAGCACATAGTGAGCTTTTGGATGTTGCTCATCATGTAATTGGAGCAGTTCATAGCACAAACGAACTTGGCAATGACCATGAGTCGGCATACTCCATCACCAAGTCCACCGAAGAGTTCTACACTCTCGATGTTCATCTCCTGGATCTTTTCAACGAGAGAGCGGGGCTTGACATCAGGCACAAGTGGCGGAACCGGTCCCGGACCACTTGCAGTCTGTATCTCCGAGAAGGCTTGGAACCTGGACAACGTATATGAAGGGAAGCTCATGATACAGTAGTATGTAAACATGTATCATGGCTTCAAATGCCTGAACATGTCATACGATCTCTAAGCTGCCCACAAATTGGCTCCACGCAGGCGTTTCGCTGCCGGTGGAGCGGGAGACGATGGTGATACTGCGGCCTTCGCTGCGCCCACCTTGATCTCTACTTCGGTGTTGTTCTCCTGGGGTAGTGATGCCGCTGCTCCGTTAGCCGACGATGCTGCTGGTTCTACAGGGGGACTCACTGGAGCGGCAACATCTGGAGCCCGTGCGATCTCATCGATGGACACTGCAGGGGTAAGACTTGTCTGATCGTTCATAAGATTTTCCAAGTCCACCTCAAGGGAATCAGGACCTCCAGCAGCGCAGTCCGTGGCACAGGGAGCAGGGTCAGGCTGAGTTCAACGCTCGGGAGAACGGGAACACTCTCAACAGAAACGCTGCGAGAAATCTGACATCCAGCTATGAGTTGACATGGGCATCCACAACAACACGCCGCTTCCCTTGCTTGGGGACACGGCGGATGTTCTTCGTGCAGTTGAACCACCGCTGCTCCTCGAAGCATGCACCTTAGCAGCACCAGCATGTGGGCTAGCAGCATCAGCATGTAGGTGCGACATTTTTGAAGCATGGTCCCGCATCAGGAGTACACGTCAAATCTAGAACGGATTAGCATGGACTTGAATAGGAATGACATCCACAAATCGAGCATTCGTGTGTCGAATGGTGTCCACGCAGTTTGTACATCTGAGGCTGTGGGTATCAAGGTTCGGATCATGAAACTGTACAAGGCTTCCCTTTCAAATGTAGAACGGACTAGCATGTCCTGCGGCAAGGATGACACACACAAATCCACGATGTTTAGACGGATAGGCGCGCGCGTAGCTTATGCAATGGCCCCGTACCAGAAGTACACGCTACATCTAGAACGGATTAGCATGGACTTCAATAGGCACGACACTCACAAATCGAGCATTCGTTTGTTGAGGGCTTCCATGCAGCTTCTACATTTTAGGCTGTGGGTCCTGCGACGAGGATGACACCCACAAATCCATGATATTTTTGGACGGATATGGGCGCCCGCAGCCTGTATCTGCAAGAAAGAAGTCTTGAACAGGTTATCCTGTTCTACAAGAGCAAGGACACGGGATCGAGGGAGAAGGGGACAAGAGGACAAAGGGATCAGGGGACAAGGGGACAGGGGGCAGAGGGACAGAAGGACAGGGGGACAGAGGGACCGCGGACACGGGGACAGGGGGACAGGGGGACAGGGGGACAGGGGACAAGGGGGACAGGGGGACAGGGGGACAGGGGGACAGGGGGACAGGGGGACAGGGGGACAGGGGGACAAGGGGGACAGGGGGACAGGGGACAGGGGACAGGACGCAGGAGTGTGCGCGTATCGGGGTGGGTGTGCGCGTATCCGGGTGGGTATGTGGTTATGTGTATGTAGGTGTGTTCAAGTCTTTGTATGTGTGTGTGAGTGTGTGTGCGTGTGTGTGTGTGTGTATGTTTGTGTACGGGTGTGTGGGTGTGGGTGCGTGTGTGTGTGTGTGTGTGTGTGTGTGTGTGTGTGTGTGTGTGTGTGTGTGTGTGTGTGTGTGTGTGTGTGTGTGTGTGTGGTTGTGTGTGTGTGTGTGTGTGTGTGTGTGTGTGTGTGTGTGTGTGTGTGTGTGTGTGTGTGTGTGTGTGTGTGTGTGTGTGTGTGTGTGTGTGTGTGTGTGTGTGTGTGTGTGTGTGTGTGTGTGTGTGTGTGTGTGTGTGAGTGGGTGTACGTGTGTGTTTGTATTGGAATTCGCATGGGTGTGTCTATGTATACATGTACGCGTTTGTGGGTGTGTGTGTGTGTGTGTGTATGTGTGCGGGGGTGCGTGTACGTGTGTGTGTGTGCATATGTTGACATAGTGTGTGTATGTACAACAGGTACGACATGTTGCACATTGAGTCTCCCTGCACAAAGCTTATAAAAGCATTTTTGAGCGTCCGCGCCACAGCTCCGATCACCACTTTAGTTACAGCCGTCGTTGCGCATGGAGCACAAAGCCTCGCCGGGATAGTACTCTGCTTCATCTCGAGGAGATGCATAGCTCTGCTCACGTTTATGGCGCGGCTTCCACCAATTTCGGTTGTAGAAGCTCTGGTGCTGCATAACCTCTTGACGGCGCTTGGCCTCTCTTTCCGTAGCCTTCTGTTTATCACGTTCTTGTTGAAGTGTCAACCTCTTCACTTTCAATGCTTCCAACTGAACTTGGAGAGCAAGCTTCGCGTCATCGTCAACACCCCTGGCCGTCTTCTGGGTCATCTCTGCTCTTGCTTTGGCTTTCTCTAGCTCGCGCTTTTGAGGCTCAGCATCTGTCTTGATAGTGGTAGAAGTCTTGCAAGTGCAGCGGTTACCGCCCCATTTGGAGCATCCCGGACACTTCTTCCGAGCCATGGTCGTGTCTTGATCTATGTCTTGGGGCTACTGTGGCTTGCAACGGCTTCGCTAGGAGATTGCGGACGATAGTAATCGGAATAGGAATCGCAATACAACACAAACAAGAATAAGATAGTAGATAAACCAATGCAGCTCAAGCCCGTCTGCAGCGCTGAGGCCAACACCTGATGCGGACATAGAAGTAGCATCATATTAAATAATATATCCTATATAATTCAGTATGCATGCAGGAATCGTGCCTCGAAGTATTCGTTTATCATATTGCCATACATCGACTAGAGAGTTATATGTATATGACCCCATATATCGACACTCCAAGGAACAATAAGAACAACGTAAAGTAAAAAATGAAAACTCACATGCCGGTCAGCTTAATCCTAGCTGCGCAATATTCTTTACGTGGGTTAACTGACTAAATGAACAAACACATAGAGGGCGAGGTACAGCGGGGGGGGGAGAGGGGGGGGGGGCACGAAAAAAAAAAAAATGCGGGGGGAGGGGGGGGGGGCAGCGCAAAAAAAAAAACAAACAAAAAAAAAAAAAAAAAATATATATATATATATATATATAGATATATATTCTTTTTTTTTTTTGCGCTGCCCCCCACCCCCCCCCCCCCCCCCCCCCCCAGATTTTTTTTTTGTTGGTGGCTGCCACCCCCCCCCCCCCCGCGGGGACAGCCTGCTCGGCCCTTGCGCATAACAGAAGTCTTAAAAGAAGACATTGCGTATATATAACAAAGCAGCAGTGACGGTAAGGACAGGTGAGAGATCAGTTTACGAAATGCTACGATATCCCAAAAGGATGAAATACAAACCGAACTATTCTAAATATGTTTGGACTACCAACAAGGAGTGTCGAAAATATGGGGCCCGTAATGTCTTATTTTCTGTAAGTCTAAGGTTCCACTGATGGTAATTGTCAAGGGTGTCAGAGTCGATGTTTCAGGGCGTCTGCTGTTGCGTGTTCTTTCCTGGTTATGCATTCTGATTTAGTTGTAATGTCTGTGCGTGCATGTGCAATGCACGACAATTGTGTCATGGCTCTTCGTCTTCGGCCATCCCGCTCTGTGCCCTAAGCTAAAACCTACGCCAAAGATGCACGAAACCGTGCTCATGCGAGTAATCTTGAAGCAAAGACCTCTTGGCGTTGTCTTTGGCAGTGGCGGGTTGTTGTATGCGGGGTGAGTATTCGGTCAAACCATCTGCGCAGTTTCTTTAGAGCTGCATCGTTTCGTGCCACAGCTACCGCGAAGAAATGCTCACAAACTCGGGTAAAGGGACCAAGCAGGCTGAGCCTTACCCTAAACCCTAAACCCTAACCCTCTCCCCACATACTACCGAACTTTCCTGAATCGAGAGCTGAAATCTTGAAGCGAAGTTAGGTCTTTGACGGCGGCCCCCTCCTTCTTAACTATCCCTAGCCGGGGATCCTAGGGTTTAGGGTTTAGGGTTTTAGAAGTGGGGTTCAGGCATCAGAAAGCTTTCAAAACACATCGAGAAATTGATTAAAAAGCACACGCAAATCTTCCGACTACAAAGTTACAAGACCGTTTGACCCATCCCTAAGCCCTCTTATATGCCCTGAAACCCTAAACCCAATCATAAACCCAAAACCCAAAACCCTAAGCCCTTGAACCCCCCTTACAGGGAACTCCAGAAAGTTGGAATATGGTTTCATGGTAGGATACCCTATATTTTACCATAGAAGGGTTAGGATAATCATATTCCAACTGTCTGGCTTTTACCTTAAAGCCCCAAGCTCCCTAGCTTTCAGAATGGATATGGTGTGCAGTCAAACTGCTTCGACCAGGCCCGGCCGGTTCCAGGGTTCAGGTGTCTAGGGTTTAGAGTTTAGGGCTTGCAGGGTTTCGAGTTTAGGGCTTGCAGGGTTTCGGGGTTTAGGGTTCAGGGTCTAGGGTTTAGGGTTTAGAGTTTAGGGCTTGCAGGGTTTAGAGTTTAGGGCTTGCATTGTTTAGAGTTTAGGGCTTGCAGGGTTTAGAGTTTAGGGCTTGCAGGGTTTAGGGTTTAGGGTTCAGGGTCCAGGGTTTAAGGTCTAGAGTTTAGGGCTTGCAGGGTTTAGGGTTTCAGGTTCAGGGCTTAGGGTTTAAGGTCTAGGGTTTAGGGTTGAGGGTTCAGGGCTTAAGGTCTATATAGGGTTTAGGGTTTAGGGCTTGCAGGGTTTACCTGGAACCTCTGGGGGTGAAAAATTTCCGCCTGCGTGATTTCGGAGGGTTGTTTCGGACTGCCAAGGTAAAGAAACGCCTTTGCGGGAAAATATTGCCTTCGGGTTTTGGGGTTTACAGCAATTAAGTGCTTTGAAACAGGTTTACTGCTACATGGATCAAAGGGTGTCTTATGTTGAGTTGGAAGTGCGAAATCCATCAGATTCCGAAGTCTTGGCTAGCCGAACAACAACTGAAGCACACTGCTCAGGATCATATGTTAATTGGCAAACCCTTCCGTTGCAAGCCACATCAAACATTCTGCGAAATTAAGATCTTATAGAAGGCGGAACGAAGCAAGATCCGAAATCCGAAAGCAAGCCCCTGCCCATGATGGATCGCCTCGATCGTGACGATGACCATGCAGGACCCGTTTAACGGTTTGGGCACTGAAAGGGCAGGTCTGTCTATGTTCATTAGGATGGTTTGTTCGGGTAGCTTCATGCAGGGGTTGTGCTTCGGATCAATTGAAACATCAGCTGCATGCTAGTTAGGGGCCTAAAAATAAGAGGCAAGGGGTACACTGATCGATGATTCCGCATGTATGATACCACATACCCTCCACACTTTCTTCAAACCGCTCAAGTGTATTTCGGCGAGTTTGTTTCTAAGCCAGCTTCACCATGCATTGCGTGAATTGGCTCACCTTCACCCTTGCATCCAGTTGTAGCACCTGTCGATCAGCGCTTCTTTCGAGCTTTGCACTTGCGTCCAGCGTCTGCACCACATTGCTGTTGATCGCGATTTTTCTTCCAGCGGCATACTATGAACCCGAATTTCAGAAGATAGTGCTGCAAGAGGTGTTTCTCGAATAAGTTGCGTTTGTATCCAATTCGCCGAGATTGCCGAGCCACTCGGCCTATAAAGTCTTCCGACATACTGCAGTCAAAGGCAGCCGGGTTCAAAGTTGCTTGCTGATTTCGCTGCAGCGCCGTCTCCAAATCGTGTTTAAAGTGTGCAAGGGCGTGATATTTTGGAGTAAGGCCAAACAAAGGCATCTGCCGCAGCAAGCAATATTGCGCCAGCTGGGAATAGCCTTTCAAGAAATCGCGTAGGCCCCTGCGAAGGAACTCAGTGCAGCTGGGCACTAGCCAAAGCGAGTGCCCATGGATTCCTTGAGAGAACTGTAGGCCTCCAATCACAGCCAGTTCAATGAAAGCACAAGCTTGGCATGTGGCAAAGTCATGGCCCGTGCCCTCGCTTCGTCCACGGGTGCGAAGTTGCACCAACAGCACCCGCAACCATTTGGAAAGGACTATTGTGTCCGATCCCTTGCATCCGAGCCAAGGGAACGAGCCTCCACTCGCAAAATGCATCTTCTTCTTGCTGAAGCTTCGCAAGCCCCCAACGTGCAAAGATGCTGTTTCCAAAAAAAGCTGAAATTGTTTCCAAGCTCTTGGGAGCCTGTTGTCAACAGACTTTGACTCCCCTTGAAGGTCGAAGGCCCCCAAGTTGCACAGCAGCAGGATTGTCGATGCTAGAAAGTTCCGGGCTATGCCTGCAAGAATCGAATTCTATCATTGCAACATGGGGGCACATATAAACCTGAATTGTTGCATGCACATATATGTTTCGTACACATAAAGAAACCCTTTTATATGTATAATTCTTAATATTGGCACTAGTTCACATATATAAACGTTACTACATAGCTATGTACATACATATATATATATATATATGTATGCGTAGAAACCTCCCCCGACTACACAAACAAATTTACCAAAAAAAACTGATGATTAAGAACCAGGAGTCCCAGTCGAAATACGTGGAAAGGATCTCTGCGAAAGAACAGAGGGACTCGTGACGGGAAAGATTGCCAATTGTCGAAGGGCACCTGCGCAAAACTCGGTGTCTGTGACCATGGCGCGGACTTACCAATGGTCCTGGTCCAGGCAGCTCCCGGATTGGCATCCTCAAAAGGGGTATCTGGAAAGCCCGCCTCACATTCGATGCAAACAGGTATATCTTGGGCCCGTCCAACGTGCTCGTAGCTTCGCTGCAGTCCCGCGTCGCGCAAAGAGGCGCAATGGAACTCGAAGTCCCCCTTCAATCCCAGAATGCCAATGTAATATCGTCTGCCATCCACCAAAAGCCCAGTCTCAAAAAGCTCGCGAAGCTGGCTTGACAAAGTCTTGATAATTTCTGGCAGAAGCTGCTGGGGCCATTGTTTGCTTGGGAAAGCAGCAAGAAGGAAGCGGGTCAAATATGAATGGCACTTTGCATTGCAGATTTGCCCCATCTGCAGCACTGGTTCTGCACACCGACAAAGCTTTGGTTTATCATGCCCAATGCCCAAGGTAGGCTCCGCGCTGAAGATTTCCAATGGCTGTCTTGGTTGCAGTTTTGCAATGGGCCCTTCCAAAAGTATTTACACATGGTTACATATTTATTCTTTATAGTTATCTAAATATATATATATATATATATACATATATATATGTATATATATAGGCATATATATATATATATATATATAGGGGAACCGTACAAAATTGAAAGGAACTACAGTAGCCGCCGGAAAGTTGGAAGGCGGCAATTGGAACGGTTGATGCGGCAACGGCATCTTCCAACTTTGGGTTTGACTTGGTCCCATCTTCCAACTTTAGGTCCCGGCATTTGGACCGGTTGATGCGGTAACGGTATCTTCCAACTTTCGGTTTGTGGGATTCAGCTCCAATAATGCAGAGAGGGAAACCGCAATTACTTCGACCGCTCCAGTAGTGCTGAGAAAGGGAAACGGCAATTACTACGACCACTCCAATATTGCACAGAGAGAGAGAGAGAGAGAGAGAGAGAGAGAGAGAGAAACTGCAAGTACTACGACCGCTCCAGTCTTGCAGAAAGAGAGAGAACCTGCAATTACTACGACCGCTCCAGTGTTGCAGAGAGAGAATGGCTGCAAATACTACGACCGCTCCAGTATTGCACAGAGAGAAAAATTGCAAAGACTATGACCACACCAATATTGCAAAGAGAGAAAACTGCAATTCCTAGGACCGCTCGTGTTACTCAATTACTACGACCGCTCCAATATTGCAGAAGGAGAGAAGCTGCAAATACCATGGCCGCTCCAGTATTGCAGAGGGAGAAAAACTGCAGTTACTCCAGTATTGTAGAGAGACAGAGAGAGAGTGAGAGAGAGAGAGAGAGAGAGACGGAGAAACTGCAATTAAACATTGGGTCTGCTTGGTCCCATCTTCCAACTTTAGGTCCCGGCATTTGGAGCGGTTCATGCGGGAATCAAAAGTTGGAAGGTTGCAAACTTGGAAGAATCCAAAGTTGGAAGATGTGTTCTATTCCAATTGTGGGGTGCTGAAATTTTGGGTGCGCATCTTCCAACTTTGCGGCTGCCACCATAACTAGTTGAAACAAACCCGAATGAAAGTTCTGGTTGCTTCTTTTGTGTTCGACCACCGTCTGCGTGTAGGCTGAGTGGTATTGTCCATCGCAAGCGGTTGCTAGGTGCCTCTGCAAACACAGCATGCGAGGGATGCGTGTCGCGATATCGGCCCCAAAACATTGACAGTCCACGATTAGAAGCCGGATCGGACGGAGCATACCCTCCCAACAGCAGATCAGGATGTTTGGCCAACAGATAGCCAAGGACGTCTTTCGGAGCCAAGTAAGGCAAAGTGAAGCATTCAGCATCAACCACGAACGTATGATGTGAAATTGGGATATCAGGTCGAAGGCCAAACTGGGCAATAACCCTCTCCACATGTCTTGCAGAGTTCTGCTCCGACAGCCCCAGAACACCACCCAGCTCTTCGCGGGTGGCTTGCACACCCTTCTGCAGGACCATGGCCCGCTCATGAGCCGTCACAGAGTCTGCCGGTGCCTTGGCTATTCACAAGATTCCACACGTTCGGAAAACGTTTAGTTTTGACTAGGCACATGCAACAAAATGCTAATATGTATGTGTATATACACAAATGCATGCATGTATTGGTCACATACACATGCTACCATGCATATATATATATATATATATATATATAAGACTCCATGCACAGTTACATGCATACTAATACACAAGGATCTCTATATACATATGAGTGTACAGGTATACTCCTGCATAAGTATGTATACACATATATATATATATATATATATATCTATATACATACATCCGCATCATTACCATGCACGGGTATGAAGGCACAAGTAGGGCTACTGAGGATTCAGCTTCCTACATAGTGTCAGTGAAGTAGGCCGGGGTTTCAAGTAAACAAGGGTTCTAGAAGACAAAGAAAACGTGCACATTTTAATTCTTGTAGCGACAGGAAGCACTGCAGAACAATACCTTTATTGGGCTTATATAACTACATACATACATACATACATATATATATATATATATATAGAGATCGAGGGCTTGATCAAGGGAGTGCTGCTTTTAACTTGGGTTTTATTGCTTCAATTAAGGGGTTTTCGGGTTCATCGGGGGGCGTTTTGGTGGGGCTTGCACGGGCCTTCAATCGATGATAGGCCTCATGATGGCCTGGACATTAATTCGTGGCTTATAGGAATCAGAAATACTTCAACTTTAATACATATTATATGTAGAAAAGCCGCATGCAAACTT